AGCACTGGGATTATAGCTGTGTGCCACCATGTCTGGTTTTGGTGGCCAGCAAGGTGCACCTCGGGTTCTGGGGTAGCACGGCATGCAGTACTGGGGATCAAACGTGAGTCTTTGCACTCGTCAGGCAGGCGCTTAGATCGCCAAGCTATCTCCTCAGCCCCTTAAATGCCTTTTTTAAAGAGAAACACTTCTGGAGTCCAACTACAAAAAGCTTCGTGAATAGCTTAGTGTTCTTTGGCTCTGCAGGATACCTACTAACAAAAGGGCATATTATGGCCACGCTCTGCAAGGGCCACAGGGCAATCTGCGCCAGTGCAGGCTAAGGCTCCTGCAGCTAGTTACTTCCCAGCTTAAAAGTTTACAACTTTAACGACAGCTACAGAAACAACAAAATAGTAGCTCTGCAGTTACATTAGGCATTTTTTTCTTATTCTGAATTTCAACATTTTAAAGGCTGAGATACGGCAGTAGCAGTTCTAAAACTCACAGGAGAGCTAGTTATCATGAGTGAAATGTTTCTAAAGTGGTACTTAACTAAACTCAAGTTTACCAAGAAAAACAAACTTTGAGACAGAATTTTGCTAAGTAGTTCAGGCTGGCCTTGCACGTTCCATGTAGCACAGACTGGCCTGGAACTTGTGGAATTCCTCCTGCCTCAGACTCCCGAGTGTTGGAATTACAGGCCTGCACCACCACACTCACCAGAAATTATTTTTTTAAATTTAAAAAATAACCTGACATCATGTAAATAATATTGTACACGAAAAATTAGAACTGCTTATGCACAGGAAAATAGGAATAACTTTGAATTTTCCCACCTTAACTGCTATTAACACTGTGAACTGTCTGGCCCTTTTCCTATGTACACAACTGTTTGATTCCCAGTACCACATGCTGTGCCAGCCACAAACTGGGCATGGTGGCACCACCTGTAGTCCTGGTGCTGCCAAATAGCTCAGCAGATTAAAGCTCCTGCTTAGGCAGCTGCAGGGGCCAGGAGTTCAATCCCTGGGCCTGCTGTGCCTGCTCCACCCCTGGGGCATGTTGAGGCAGGTGATTGAAAGTGGGTGTGGTAGCATGCACTCGGGAGGCTGTAAATAGGATCACCACGAGTCCAATCTATGCAGTGAGACCCTGTAGATCCTGTCCTAAAATACGAGAGAGAGAAGAAAAAAGGCTCACTATGAGTCTGAGCTGCATAGAGAGACCCTATATCAAATAAATAAAAAAAGTAAAAATAGACTATGGTAAAATAATTTCAAAAAGCCTGTATTATGTAACATGTTGTGACTTGCTGCTTGTTCATTTAATTGTAGTCTAAAAACTTTCTGCCTTGATATTTATCTGTAACACTACACACACACACACACACACATAAATAAAAATTTTTTTGGCTGGCTCAGGAGGCCTTAAGGGCAGGGGTCTGGTAAGGCAAGAGGATCTGGGGATCGAACCACAGCATCCTGAGCCACACTCTTTGTTTAAGCAGGCACTTAAACAATTACATTAAAAGGCAGGCCACTCATTTTCATTCAGTTTTACAGATACTAATAACCTATAGCTAGTTCCCTGTTCTTGGACATTTTAGCTTATCCATTTTATTTCTTCAGGATACATGTTTATAACTGCTATTACCAAGTCAAAGAGAGCAGGTACATGTGCTAATTTAGTATGTAGTTGAGTACTCCACAGACAATGCATATAAACACACTGAACTAGCTTCAGGTCTGCATAATTTGGACCCCTATCCTTTCAATACCATCACTATACCTGGTGTACACTAGATAGGAACAAATGCAGCAATGATCCTAAAAACACCCTGCTCTGTGAAAAGATCTACAGATTTGCATTCACAAGGTACCCAGTTTGATGAGATGCAGGAGCTGCTCTGAAGGCGCACAGACAGACTGAGGCTTGATTTCATTGATGAGGCCGTTAGCAATGCTGATGTAGCCATCGTAGAGCAGCTGGCTAATGATGAGCTTGTAGAGCTGCTGCCGGTCCTTCAAGCCCACTTTGGTTCTGTACATCTTGGAGAGAGTAGTGTCCTGCTGAGCTGCGAGAAAACAGGTGCACAGTGAAGGGCAGAGGCCACATTAAATCAGCAGCAACACAGGACACTAGTCAGACTTCTTCTTGCATCCCTCAATCACAGTTGGTTACTGACTTCATTTTTCTGAGTTCAGGTCATTTAGCTGTTTAATAAGTTGCCGGAGGTAAAGCTAGCGGGTCCAAGTACAGCACCGAATACAGTCCTTGGAACACAGACACTATTCCAGAAAGGCTGACAGATACTTACAGGAGCATCTCTCATCAACTTTTCTTCTCTGCCAGACTACCTACCTGGGGATTTTTATTCTGTATTACTCTCTCGGAATCTTCCTTTTTTTTGGTTAATTACACACTGATCAGTGTTTCGAATAGGCAAGATGGCTGCTATTCTGTTGAATGCTTGGACTACTGCTTCTACCAGCTGAGTTGTATGTTTACTAATGGCTGTTATGTTCCTTTTTAAAACCTGTTTTAAGACAACTACATTTATTACTATAATCATATACTGTAATTTAATTAGTAAGTCAAAATATACAAAGGCAACAAAAGCTATTGTGGCATAAAAACTAACCCAGGTTGAACACTTTGTAAAGATTCAAAGGTAAACTGCAACCTAGGCCCAGTAGTGCATGTCTGTAATCTCTGTATTCTGGAAGGCTGAGGCAAGACAGCAAGTTTGAGCCCAGCCTGGGCAAGCTGGCGAGAACCTGTCTCAAAATGAAGGTTAAAAATCTGGGAAAGAATGTAGTTCAGTGTGAATGCAGGTTCAATCCCCAGTACCAAAATAAAATTGCTTAACAAAATATTGCCAAGTAAGTTATAGAAAAAGAAAAAAATTATAAACATGGAAAGAAATGTAAAAATCTGGGCAGACTGTGCACTCAGATGTGTTAATGTACATGTTCTTGAACACCTGAAAGGGAAACAAAACTGCAGAGATGGGCCGGCCAGATAGCTCAGTGGACTAAAGCACCTGCTTAGGCACAGTGCAGTGGCCAGGGTTCATTTAATCCTTGCCCACACTATCCCTCAGGAGTGCTGAAGCAGACTGAGACTGGGTGTGGTGGCACACACCCATAATCCCAGGGTTTGGGAGGCTAGAAACAAGAGAATCACTACTAGTCCGATCTATGTAGTGAGACCCTGTACTAAATAAAAGAACTGCAGAGAATGCTTTCTGGTTTATGCAAAAAAGCACTTCAATTGGTGGACATGATTAACAAACACCCCACGATTAACACGAGTATCTACAAATATCAGTATCTACATGCATGCAAACTTGGACAAATGTTAGAAAGCTGCAGGAGGCCCAGGACAGCTACAGAGAAAAGTGACTTCAGGGCCTCAATTCTTACACACTCTGCAACACTGATGGGTATCAGTAACAATTTCTTTTTTAGAAAGGAAGTTTCCTTTTTGGTACTGGGGATTGAACTCACCCACACTGAGCTACATCCTCACCCCATTTTTATTGAGACACTCTCGATAAATCCATAAACAGCTCTACCTAGGCTTGAGCTTGCAATCCTCCTGCCTCAGCCTCCTAGGATGCTGGAACAACAGGAGAGCACCACCAGACCCAGTTAATATAAAACATATACCAAGCTTTTCCTAGGTGTCAGACGCTGCAGAAACAAACGTATGTGTAGAAAATAATGGGACACAAAAGATGTTGGAATAAGCCCGGAGAAGACTAGGTGAGGAGAGCTGTGTTTGTGATTGACGATCTCGTCTCAAAAAAACAAAAAACGAACAAACAAAAAAACCAAGAATGCTAATTTAACTCGGAGTGAAGGTTCAATCCCCGCCTCTCCTCCAAATATGAAAGTCGTGGTCGAGCCCTCATAGAACCTCAGCTCGCCGGGCTAGCAGCTTAAGTCCTCCAATTCGCAAACGAGGACCTCGAGGCCCGAGAGCAAGACAGGCGGAATCCGACCCAGCCCCGGGGTCGATGACGACCGGGGTAAGAGCGCGCACACCCCATCAGCGTGCACCCGGCTACCATCTCGCCCCACAGGGGAGGAGAACGCGAGGCGGCGGCGGCGAGGCGCTCCGAGAAAGGGGGTGTGCAGGCCCAGCCGGGCAGCCAAACGAACACGAAGGGGCGCACGCGTCCCTGCTCGCTCCTAACCCTTCCCGTCTCACTCCACTCCTTCACGTGGTACACTAGGGGCCCCAGCCAACCGCATCTGCCACTCTCCCACAGTCCCCGGACCTCCGTACCCGCGAACTCGGCTCTCCTCCCGCTCTCTCCTCGAAAAATGGAGGCGCGTATCTGACCAATAGATCGCCGAGCGCACGCTCACTGCGCACGCGCAAAGGACGACTGGCTGAGCGCCGCGCTGTCGATAGGCCGATTCCGCCCTCCCCACCCTTCTCTCAAGCTTACTAATTAGCACTTTCGAGAATTCTGTTCACTTTCTCTGACTTTAGCTCCTACGTGACAATCCTCATGACAAGGGGATGCTTCACGGACAAATGTCCGACTGTGGAAAGTACTGGGCTTGCTGGAACGGCTTTGAGTCTGGCGGGTCGTTGGCGCACCACTTCCGCGATCTTCCGCGCTAGTGCGCCGGCGCGTCGCTTGCGCCTCGAACGTGATTGGGTCGTCGCGTTCTCTGTGAGCCTATCACGAAGCAGCTTCCCTGTAGCACCGGCCAATCAGCTTTCAGTTTAGAGGGTTTAACTCATATTTAAAAAGAGGAACCTTTGAATCGTAACGGCTGAGCTTTTGAAAGGACTCAGTGGCCTTTAGCTTGAATGCAGGAGAGCCGGCGGGTTGGTAGGTCGGGGCCGCAGCCGGGGTGGTCTTTGGGGTGCAGGACCAGCGGGCCGGGAGGACAGGATCCGGGTGAGGCGTCCTCTCTCCAGTCGCGTCCGCAGCGCCGTCGTGCGCCCCTGGTCGCCGGGCGCTCTGTAAGACGCCGCAGAAGTGGAACGGGTTTTTGAGTGGCGTTGAATGGCTGGAGGCTTTCTGATTGGTGAGCATTTGGGTAATGAAAGTGTCCTTGCAGTCTCGGGGTTACGTTCTGTTGAGGCTGGGGAGGCAGACGTTAGAGCTAGCAGGATAACTTGCACTTGTAGGTGTTGTGAAGAGAGAAGGTACAGTAGTGTGGTTTAGGGGGTCTGGTAAGGTGGATGAGCTGGGAAAACCCGTTACCCCCCTGGCAGGATCGGTGAGTAAATTCACGCTTGAGATCCTGGTCACAAAGGCCTTTCTGTGCAACGGCTTCCCAAATCCCTTCACTACTCGAGGTCCTGGCTCGAAAGGTAGCCCCACTGCGGACCTTGTAAATTGGAATCTCCTAGAGATAGGACTCACGTGGCGTTAACAAGCGCTCCTGGGGATTATTTTTTCCCACTGATTAAATGTTAGGTCCCACCAGAGCCTACTGTCAGATTAAACTGGGGTTGGAGCCGAGGTTCTGCTTCTAACGACTTCCGGTGAGATAGATGTGGCTACTGTCCTTGACATTTTGTAAGGTTTCCACTCCCTCAACTTTTTTTTTTTTTTTAAGTTATATTTTTTAAATAAATATTTTTTAATCTTTTTGTATTCCTCTGACTCCTAGAATTTGTCAGTACAGGAGCAGATGCTATTATAACTTTAATTTCTTTTTTTAAATACTTTTATTGAGAAATAGCAATGAGACCGTTTCAAAACCGATTAATAGGACAGTTTCAATAATTAATACATTGCATATTGTTGTCTTCTTAGTGGTTATTCATAGTACAAGATGCAACCATGATATCCTGTCCAACACTATTAGTACAAATCTTCTCATTGAATTAAGAGAAAGTAGCTGTATATCTATCCTATTTTGAATATACAGATACAAAATTGTCCTTCATTTGTATCCCTTTTTTGTTTAGTTTTGTCAGAGGGGTATTCTATTGTTACTTAAATATTGTAGGTACGTGGATTCAGCAAAAATATTCCAATATAGTCCAGTAGTCCATAATACTAGTGAGTTTTCCATAGGACTGGCAATATCAGAAGTTGTTGACTTGAGCCTTTTACACTCAGCTTATTAATATGGCTTTACTTTTTAATACTTCATTTTTATACTTTGCTGCTGGATGGTAAAGACCAAGATAAAGCAAGATCTATATAACAAGAAATGTAACTTTTGTATCTGACAAGGTCAGTCAAATCCCCTCAGGATTTATCCTGAAATCCTGTACCACAGTCTGTAGATCCTTTGTCAGTGTCAGCCATGTGGATGAGTCATGGCCATTGCTTGACCCATCTACTCTCTGTGAAAGCTTGAGAGAATGTTTTCTCTCCATGTGACTCTCTTTAGACACACTCTACATCATGGATCACTTTCCTCTTTGGCCCCATAATCTCCTTGATCAGAAAATTTAGGACACAGCTGAGTTACATAATGTTACAGTTCAGGTTCTCCTATGTCCTGAGTCCTCACTGACCTTGAAAGACTAGGGCCAAAATGTTGGCTGTCCTTGAAGCCCTTCTTTTTCTCTAATTTTTGGTCTGCAAACTTAGGTTGTTAACCCTCCAGAAGAGAAGCTTATTATTATTACTGTACAACATAGGCAGTTGAGCTTAACCTCACTGTCTGTCTGAATATCAGTATCTTAGATATAACATGGAACAGGTATTTTTCATCAAGTATTGATATGTTAAACTTTAAGTCCCTATAGAATATGAAGAAAAAAATTAAATATTAAAAAATAGGAATAAACAATTACATATTTTTTTACACAGAAATTTAGAAATCTAACCATATACAGCATTGTTGCAGGACAGTCCTATGACTTTTTTTCTTGTCTCTTGTTTTCATTTATTATCTTTTTTTTTAAAAACATTTACTTGAGAGACAGTATGGCAGTAATTGGTATGATATGACAAGCAGTACATATTTAGAAGACCAAAATGACAGGCATTCCAAGCATGACCCTAGTATCCCTCAACTTTCTGTTTTGTTTTTTTTTTTAATTAATTAGACTCTTCGGCAATGAATTTTTTCTCTCCATCATCTCTGGAGACTTTTTAAATGTGTGAATGAGGAGAAAACAGGTATGACTCGTACATGTTGTTTCTCTGCTTAGGATTGTAAAGGTCAGGTTTGAACTGAACAGCCCTGTGAAGGTCACCTGGTCTTGTGGTTCCTAAATCCGGCTGCCAATCTGAGTCACCTGAGGAGCAGTCTTCATGGTGGGGAGGGATCAGAATCTTGTTCCATTCTACTTTTCATTCATCCTCCTGAGAAAGGGAAGTGTAGGAAATGGGAGCAGATGTCTGTGGCTCTTGGCAGAATGTGGAATGGAAGTCCTTGCTCTGTGTGATTTTATTAGTCTGTTACTAATTGTTGTGGGAAAGTGAAGAAAGCATTAGCGCCGCAAGCAGCTGGGATTACAGACAGTGCCGCCTTCCTGGTTGACTGTTTTAAGTTGTTCTCTCCCCCATCAGTGTGGAGATGAACCTGGGCACCTACCACTGAGCTGCGTTCCCAGCCCTTTGCACTTTGAGCCCCATTCTTGCCCGCTGTTGGAGGTGGGAGGAGGCACTGCATCTTTCCTCCTCGCCTTCCCACTGCTGGGATTATAGGCGTGCATCCCCACACCCAGCGAAGCTGTTCTTAGCATCGGTTTCCTGTCAGTGGATGAGCTCATTCCCAGGGCATTGAGCGCTGGTGTTCATGCCAGGCAAGCTTCTGCTTCCCAGGGCAGCTACTGGAGACACAATGGAACTAATAATAAGCCTTTGCTCTCTGAGGATTTCTGTGCAGGTTCCAAGCGAGGATGGGAGCTGATATCAGAGTTTGGAGAGATAGTAAGCATGTGGAAAATATGGAGAAACGAAGACTGAGATGACTGTGGAAGGGGGCACTGTGCTGGGCCGAGACCTGGGTGAAGTGGAGTGGGAAGAGCCTAACTGGTAGTGGAAGCAGGAAGTACGGAGGCCCGGTGGCAGAGGACTTTGTATGGCTGGTGTGTGGCTTATAAGAGGGGATGAGGTCAGAGCAGTGCTCAGAGTTGGAATGTTTTGATTAAGTTGGGGAGTCGGGGAGCTTCTGAACCAAGGACTAACACATGTGTCAGGTTAATGGGGTGGCTGACTGCATCATTGAAAATGGGCCACAGTAGGGCAAGGGTAGAAGTGGGGAGCCACTGGGAGTTTCTTGCAGATAGATAATCCAGAACTATAGTTGGACCGACTAGCAGTAGAGGTAGTTGCAGAAGTTTTTGAAGGTAGAGCCTATACAGTATGCTGATGGGTTGGCTACAGGGTTACACAGCCACACACAGGGCTATGCTGAGGCTCTTGTCCTGAGTGGCTGGCAGCACGGGCCTGCTGAGAGCGGAGATGGGGACGTCGGTGAGAACAAACTTAGGTTATGAGAGAGGAGGGGGTCAGACTTCATTCGGGACCCCAGCCCGTGGGTGGGTACTGGAAGCTAAGGGAATGGATGATCTTGACAGCTACTGTGGATGAGACATACTGCTGGGCTTTGAGCTTGGCACCCCATGGACAGGGAGGAGAAAGAGGCTGAGGTGGGATGAGGTTCCCTTTTGGCAGTATTAGGCCTGAGGTCCCTGGAGGATATTTCTGGGAGCTCCTGAGGAGCTACTTGGATATCCGAGTCCAGTAGTCAGAGGGAGAGGTTAGGGTAGCAGCTACATGTTTAAATTATTCTAGTAAAATGTTTAGAGCCAAGGAATGGGGGCGGGTCCATGTGAAGGGAGTACATAGAGAAATGGAGGGTCCAAAGAATAATTTCTGGCTCTCCCAGGGATTGATTCATTCCCAACAATGTAGCATGACATCTCAAAGTAAAAAGAGCTCAATGGTAGATGGCTGTGGATGGATCCTCAGTGCTGCGAGGGCTGGTGGGAGGGGAAGAGCAGGTTAAAACATTCAAGCTGGCAAGGTGGTGCACATCTGTAAACCAGCTGCTTGAGGGACTCTGATGCTTTCCTCACTTTCTGTCTTGATCCTGGAGATATAAAATAGCCCAGTGGAAATGGGCTTGGTGTGGGGGCTGGGGTGGTTCTAGCCTTGCAGAGATTGTAGCTGATCTGAGACGCAAGCTCTTCTTCCGTATTCTTAAGGGGTGACCTTGACCTGAGACTACCTGGCTAGAGCTTTGCTCTTAGCAGGGGAGGTGAGAGAGGGCCCCTGGCTTGAGGCAACTGTGGGACTCTGCAAGGTAGCAGGTATCCCCTCAGGTCTGTGTAGGGGAAAGCAAGCCATTAGAGGGACAATAATAGTGCAGAAAGAAGACAGGGGGGTCGGGGGTGGGGATGGATTTTGGGGAGAGGCAGAGGGCTGCAGTGGACAAGGCAGGGTTGGCCTTCGAGAAAAGCCAGACACCTGTGCATTGTGTGTGCGATGACAGAGCTCCCCGGCCAGCTTCACCTGGGCAAGAAGTCCGGAAGTCCGGTGGAGCCCTGCGTGGGGAAGGGTTGTGGCGGCCTTTTCATCAGTTGGCTTTATTTAAAGTCTCTTTTTCTTTTCAGGCATCATGGACAGAGCTAAAGAAAACTGCATTTCAGGGTCTGTAAAGGTAAACTGAACGATCTGCCAGGGCAATCGCCTTTATACGCACGTGAAGTCTGGAATTTCCTCGTCATGTAACCGTAGGTCTCCCCTCCACCGCCGGGTGTGTCTGGTCCTGCTTCTGCAGATGCCACGCCTGTTTCAGAAACCACTGACTGAAGTCTTCCAGCCTCTGTCTGTACAGCACTCACGCTGTCGCTGCCCGTGGACTTTGAGCTTTGGGTTTCAGTAGCAGCCCCCCATGATGGACCCTACCCACCTCCTATCTTAGTGTGTGTGGCGCAGGATCTTAACTATTTAAATCTGTAATACAATATCATAGGTGTATGAAGAATGCATTTCATGGGCCGCGGAGATGGCTCAGTAGAATAAGCACTTCCTTGGCAAGTGCAAGATCTGAGTTTGATCCCCGATCCCGTCAAAAAAAAAAGAATGCATTTCATTTTATTTTATTTTTGTATTTTAGGGAAAGGTCTACAGGGTGTTCAGGGTCTCACTACTAGCTCATAGTGATCTGCCTTCCAAGAGCTGTATTACAGGCACTTGCCACCACGCCCAGTCTCAACTGCCATCTCTGTGTGCCTCAGGGGTGGGGCCAGCATGGCAGGCCCTGGGATCGAACCCCTGACCTCTGCGCCTGCTTGCAGGCACTTTAATCCATCAGCTGAGCTATTTGGCTGGCCCAAGAATGCATTTTAGTAAACACTTTTTGAAGGGCTTGCATTTGTTTGCCTATTATCAAAGTTCTTTTTAACTCAATTTCCCCATTGTGGAAAATGAAACATTTTGGTGGATAACAGCAAAAAGCTTATTGTGGAAAAAAAGCCTTACATATACAGGGTTGAGGTGGTCTTCAGACTTTCATTTGAAGATGACTATATAGTTCTATAAGTCTTTTCTAAATATGTATATTATCTAAGAAATTTCAGTGAAATAGAGATTTTGGCATAAAGCTTTAATAATTTAAGAGCATAGTCGCAAAACATTGAACATTTTTAGAAAATGTTCATGGTGTCACTGGCTAAAGTTTAATGATGAACATTTGCTAATGGGGTGTGGTTTTGTTTGTGGGGCTGGGGGCAGATAAGTGCTCTTTTCAGCCGTATACTACGTGCATCCAGTGGGAATTCTTATTAAAATAGCTTTCCCACTTACGATGTCATGTTCTATCAGCGATGTTTACTGGAAAACAGACTTTGTTGAGCTCCAAAGCGTTCATCTGTCACCGCCGCAGATCACGAAGCTGTTTTCCCTCCCACCGCAGGCCACCGCTCCCCTGGGTGACCGTCTGAAGTGTGCCTTGGCAACGCAGCCGTTTCCCTCTCAGCACCCGCCATCCGGAAGCAGTGGCCAGGCCCAGCGGGTCCTGTGTCCTTCCAATGCCCCCCAGCGGGTTCCTTCTCAAGCGCAGACGCTTGTCGGTACTCAGAAAGCAGCGCAGAGGCAGCTGCAGGCCCCCAGCGGACCCCGTCCTGCCCCCCGGCCGGTGAACAACTCTCAGAAGAGTGAGCAGCCCCAGCCGGTGGCTTCCGGTGAGCAGCTCTGGAGCTTCTGTGTGTCGTCATTGCATGGAGTTGTTGCCAGGAGCGTGTGTGTGTGTGTGTGTGTGTGTGTGTGTGTGTGTGGGCGGGCTTGCACTTACTGTTGGGAGCCCCAGCTTTTATAGCCTGTCTTTGAGGATGAGAAGAAATAGATGTCCCATGTTGAAGTCGCAGTGTCTATGGGCTGGGGCTTCTAAAAATAACAGACCTCATTTCCACGCTCTTTGAAGAGCTGGGCATTCAGGGAGGACATTGTACCAAATGCACATCCTTTAGATAACCTAGAAGTGGGTCAAGCATAGGGTATTTGGAGCAGGTGAGTTTGAGCTGAAAAGTTCCAGAGTTTGCGCAAATAGAGGAAAGCTGAGAAGTGAAGTGGGGTCCCCTGGAATGAGGTCACCAGGCAGCACTGCTGGCTATTTTAAGTGAGCGTCCCTCTTGTGGGTGCTGGGAAGTCGCTGGTTTTCTGAGTAGGAAGGGACTGATTAGTCTTTTCAAATTCTTTTTTTTTTTTTTTTGTGGAACCGGGGATTGAACTCAGGCCCTTGCGCTTGCCAGGGAAGCGCTTATTCCACTGTGCCATCGCCCCAGCCCGCTTTTCAAATTTTTACTGGGCACCTGTTAAATAATTGGAGAGTGGCTGTGCTGGACGGGGCTTCCTGGCCAGGAGGAGAGTTAAGGTCAGAGAGGCGGTGAGCTGCCGGGTGGCGCAGGCGCCAGGGATGCTTGTACTTGTAGTTAGCAGCTGTTGGTGCTAACACACACGGCGAGTTCCGAGGCACTCCTTTGCCTCCATCACCACATTCAGTCCTCACCCACTGGATGAAGACACTAGCGTTGCTCACTAACCTAAGAATAAGGAGCAGGTAACCTATCCTAAGACGTTGCCAGGATGGAAAGGGAGGTGCAGATACATTTGCGAGCCTGCCGAGGATGCACTCTCAGGAGAACCATGTGACTGAGCTAGACCTGAAAGATGAGTAGGGGCAGAACTTTCCCGAACCCCCAGAAGGTTTGTGAGGGATCTATAAGGTAACGTGAGGGAGACAGCTAATCTGTGTGCAGGCAAAACGTGAGGCTCAGAAAAGGGCCCAGGAGGAGAGCGTTGGCGGGGCTGGGGGCGTGTAGTTAGGGCATCCTGAGCTCTGCAAAGAAACAGGACTCTGGTGCTCTGGTAGAAAGGGGCAGGGAACGTGATGAGAAGCCACATGGCGTGGGGAGCTGATGCGCTGAGCGCAGGGCAGGGCCGCAGGTGCACAGACCTCTCCTCGGGTGACTGATCCGTCCCTCAGCAGCCTCTTCTGCAGTGCTGCTTTCCTAGCGACAGTACCTTCCAGAGGTGGTACTTTCCAAAAGGATAGCTTTTCAGAGCTCCCCCTGCGTCTGCACTTTCTAACCAGCTCAAAAGATGCCAAAGAAGTGCTTCAGGAGGCACCCTGAGATCTATCGTCATGTTTTTGAGAGAGGCATGTACTGAGCTCCCGCCAAGGTTATGCTGATGACATTAGTGGGGCTACTGGACTGTGAAGGGGACCGATAGCTTGGCTCTGCAGTCAGACGCCTGGGCAGAGTGAACTATGCTGGTAGGGTTTTAAGAACTGGGGATGGACAACTGGAAGCGCCAGGACAACGTGCTTTTGCTGTTGCTGAGGTAGTAGCTCCAGTCCCCTGCGGAGAAACTTGATTGTGCATTTTTCTGAATTTCTAGTTTCTATTTGTTTGGTTTGAATGGTTTTCGTATTTCCCGCTGGAAAGAGCGTGCCTGGCTTGTTTCATTGCCTACTGTGATTTGTATGGTGGGGCTGTGAAGTTGGGGAGAGGTGGCGAGTGACAGGGTGGCCGCTCGGTGTGGGTGGGCGGCTTGCTCATCGGCCCTAGAAGCTCTTCGTTTGGGAACTGAGACTTCAGAGGGTCTCTACCTAGTCTCGGTCTTCAATTACTGGTGGAAGACATTACTGTGTACATTTCTACTTTATTCTAGAAATTCGGCGAAGACTATGTATGTTGGGTATCAGGTTAGGGTTTTGTTATTTATTTTTCCACAGAGAAAACTTAAAAATCTCAGACTTTGTCACTCCTAATGTGTTCGTATCTTGGAGACCATTCTTCGATCTCTAGTCTGAATTTAAAACTTAGGCTGCGGGGCTGGAGAGATGGCTCAGTGGTCTAAGGCACCTACTTAGAACAAGCTTGGCAAAGCATCAGGGACCGCGGTTCAATCCCCCAGCA